CACTACGCTACCAGAGCTCATAGGGTTGTTAAAGGGGGTTATATCAGTTATTATAGTAATGCCTGGTACATATTAACCACTAAAAAAGTACGTTTTTTAAAATATGTTTTTAAAAATATGTTCTGTGAAATAACTACATGTTTTGCTCATTTTCTATTGAGTAGTTTGTCTTTTTTTTTTTCCTATCAAATTTTCTATGTTATTTAATCTCCTTAAAGATTAAAAAATTTACTTCATATTGGTCGTACACTTTTTATGTTAAATTTAATTGTGTAGAATTTGTCACTATAATAAATCTATTACTTTTAATTATTTCTATTGTTAACAGGTTATAGCTAGTATAGAGAGAAGGTATTGATTTTTAAATATTTGTCTTGTACTGAGCCGCCAAATCCTCTTGTCAATTCAAGTTACTGGTGTGGCACTGTAGGATAAACAGTGGAACATAAGTTTGGTTTGAACCACAACGTTGGCAGTTCAAACCCACCAGTTGCTCCTCAGAAACCCTATACAAGGTTGATATGAGGCAGAACAAACTCTATGGTACTTAACAACAATAAATCTTTTCAGTGAAAGAGAAGGTTTTTGTTTCTTTTCCCCCCTGAATATTTATACTGGTTATTTTCTTCATGCAATAGCAGAACATCAAAACAATGATGAATAGCAGGTATCCCTATCTTGCTCCTGATCTCTGTAAAAGAAGAAGTTCCATTCGTGAACGACATCATCAGCGTGTGCCTGGGGAATCCCAACTCTTTGGTGATCAGTCCTGCCTGTTGACATGATTTCAGACTTGCTTAATCAGCTCCATAATCACATAAGGCCTATTCTTTGTAATGCGTACCTCTCTCTATCCATCTATCTGTCTGCTTATCTACCTGCACACATACATATATATGTATATATATTGTTAATTCTGCTTCTTTGGTTGAACCCTGACTGATATATAAATGCTAATTATTTAGGAAGCTGTGATAATGTTTGAACAAATTAAGAAGCTTATTTTGAGAATCAGAATTGAATTTTAAAACTTATAGCATCAGCTACTCACTTTCAATATAATAAGTAGATACACAT